ACAGAAAATAAGATCGGTCCCTTCCTTGATACCTTTTGTCAGTGGGCCTGAGGACCCCATGTTGATTTGGAGTCGATCAAATGGCTTGTATAATGGTGTTTCTCACCATTGTGAAAGAGTTGGTGGGTGGTTTGGTTGTATATTATTGATTTTTAAGGTATGCCACCTGGAATCACCATGTACGAGTTGGATGGCCATATACTGTAAATCTAATGCACTGGTTATCTGCCACTCAGTGGTGGGATTCAATTTTTTTTTTACTACTGGTTCTGTGGGTGTGGCTTGGTGGGGTGTGGCATGGCTTGGTGGGCATGGCTTGGTGGGCATGGCAGAGGAAGGATACTGTAAAATCTCCATTCCCTCCCCACTCCTGGGGGAAGGTTACTGCAAAATCCCATTCCCTCCCTACCCCACTAACCAGCTTTCCAGCTCCATTCTCCTGTGCAGGGCAACAAAAGAAGACCCAGCTGATCAGCTGGGACTCAAGAGGCAGAGAATCGATGGGGGCGGGGCCAGTCAGAGGTGGCATTTACTGGTTCTCTGAACTACTCAAAATTTCCGCTACTGGTTCTCCAGAACTGGTCAGAACCTGCCGAATACCACCTCTGCTGCCACTGCTTATACCAATTGGCAGTGGTTCTCCAGAATCATAGGTAAAAAGAGAGTGCCCTTTAAACTGCTGATATTTACAAATGACTCTCAAGCATTTGCCTTGCAAAACAAGTGTTCCTACTTCCTCTGGCAAAATCGGTTCTGAATGTTTTGAAATAGGTTTGTACCCATCCTGGTCCTCTTCTATCCTTCCTGTTGTACATCTTTCTCTCATGCAAGTTTGGGCAATTTCCCATTTGGAAACACGTACATAATTAATTTCCAAAGAGGCAGGGACATATGGAGGCAACTGTATATTGAATTTGGTTCCTGAATGTCCCCCTATGATTACTAAATCCAAAAGAGTCCTCAAATAGCTTTCCTCCTCCTGAGAAGCAACTCGGGGCCCTGCCTAGGCCAAACAAAATCATTCTTAATTGCAGTCTTATCAGAAGAAGAAAGTTAAACCAGGGTTGGATTTCTGGGTAGCCACATTTTAAAAAGTGGAAACAAAATGGATTCTAAACAAAGTTGAGAAAAGTTTAACTGCAGAGTGAAAAAAGTATCATAAAGAGGATGGACTTCCGGTTTGAGCTTCTTCAGCGACAGACCGAAACCTCGTCTCTGCGAGGCTTCGATCCGTGCTCGCCGCTGGAGTGCCCCGAGCCGGCTGGTTTCGGGGCTAAGCCACCCCGTAGAGGTGGTGAAGAGGGGGGAGACTGCCAGCAGGGTTGAGGAGAGCTGCATCTCTCCTCCCCAGCTGGCCATTACTCCCTTTCCCGAAGGAGGTTGCAGCGGTGGTCAGAAATGGCCACCACAAAGAAGAACTCGACCGGAAAAGAATGTGCAGGAGGAAGATAAGAAGAGAAAGTTTTGGTTGACCGGGTCAAACAGCAAAAGCAACAAATAAAGTACCCTGGAATTGAAACTGTTAAAAAACAATAACATTGTTCCCTAAGAAGATTTTTAAGCTGCTAAGGAGAGAGAAAAGGGAAAAGATTTGGTTTTCTCCTTTTCCTATACTGACAGCTAAGAGACTTAAGCAAGAAATTGGAAAAAAATCCACTTTGACATCAATAGGCATTTAATGCTGAAAATAAAAAGTCAAAGGGATAATAAAGATTTCTGGATAATTAAAAGCTTTTGAAAACAGGAAAGGAGAGAAAAAGAATAAAAGGGTAGGATCTGGAAGGGAGGAGACTGCCTGGAATTAAAAAAGAACTTACAGCAAAATCTCAGCAAGACTTCCAAAAGATACATTCTAACTGAAATATCGCAACAAAAACCCCAGGAAGAGAAAGTCGAAAAAGAAATAAGAAGATATAACTCGGGACTATCTGGATTACTTGATGATTTCTGGATTCTTGGTTATTGTTTTGAATGACTGAAATCAATCGGGTGGTTGTTTAAAACTTTTTAAAATGGCTCCACTTTTAGAAGAACTGAAAATGGAACTTAAAAAGTACAAAGAAGATGCAAAAGAAGGGAGAGGTTCTTTTGGCTTCATATTTCAGTTCTTAGAAATGGAGATTTGGAATTATGAGAAACAACAAGAAATGCCTGCAGAACAAGAAGATTGCGACAAAGAAGAAGCCATCTTTAATGAACAAGTAATCTTAGATGGGGAGAAAAAAGGAAAGGGGGGAAAGAGAATGGAAAGTTTAAGATTGGGAAAAAAACTCCAAAAAAAATAATAATAGAGTGAAAAATAAGTATAAAATCAGAAAGCAACAGAAGAGGGAAATGCAGAAGAGAGAATTAGAAGTAGAGAGACAAGGGGGTAAAAAGGGGAGGGAGAAGATGAGAGGGAAGAAAGAAAGGAAAAGAAGTTATAAAGGACAGAAGCAAAATGTAGAGAAACGGCCTATTTAGAGATAATGGGTGAAAACTTAATGGAAAAAGGGATTCTGCAAAGGTACATAAGATAGTATGGTTATATTAGAAGCAGAAATAATTTTAGAAAATATGAAACAATGTATGATTAAAATGTCTGATAAAATAGCTATCGTAATTCAGTGGAATGCTTGTCAATAAATAAATGTAACAAAAGGTATATTTAATGATTTATAAAACATATGTGAAGAGAAATAAGGGAAAAATTAATTATGGAGATTATATGTGTTTTTAAGGAAGTATGATATTTAATTGAAAAGAAGTGTTAAAGATGTTATGGTTTTAATGATTATTAATGATAGAACTGAACTGGAATGGAATGAGGGTTTATAATTACATATATTTACAATCTTTTTTTTTTTTAAAAAAAGAATATAGTGTGTATTATAAGAATGTGCTAAGCAGAATTCGATTAGAAGTTATGTATTATGTATTATATTGAAGGTCATAAAGTTAAGGTATATATTGAAGTTTAAATAAGAGTTGAATGGATGTAATTAAAAGATATAAAGGTGTCATACTCCAATTCGTACCTACAGGAGAAAATTTGTTTAATGAGAAAACTTAATATGAAATTGAAACAGAACAGACAAAAGTATAAATATAATGATTTGAATTGAGATGAGATAATCAAAATAAAATTGAGAAAATTAAAAGAGGGGAAAAACTATATAGAAAATGTAAAATAGTATAAGATATGGAATAGAATACAAAAAGGAGCATGAAATTGAGTTTTGTGTCTGTATAAAGAAGTTCAACCCGGGACCATGCTATTTTCAAAAAAGATGTTTTACTTGTATTTTGTGTGTGAAAACCCAAATGAAACTTTATTTAAAAAAAAAGTATCATAAAGAGAACTTGAAAAGATATGAATATGTCTAATCTGAAAAAGACAGGGCAGACAGGTTATAGGTCAATATGTTGAAATGCCAAAGGTCCACACACTGAATATAGTAAGTAGACCAGCATTTCTCAACGTTGGCACCTTGCAGATGTATGGACTTCAAACCCCAGAATCTTCAAACTGCCGTGGTTGAGAAACACTGCAATAGACCCTTGTCCTAGTCTAAAGATCTTTGAATGCAAGAGTTCAATTTTTTTTGTTGTCAACCAAACCAAGCCAATGCCTTAAAGGGGCCTGTGTTCTCTCCCTTGCTGGAAGTTCTTAGAGAAAGGCTAAGTACCAGTTTCCTAGGCATGCTACCCAATGGGTTTCTTACATTAAATGGGCTTGGAACATTATACCATATAGCTTTCAAGGCTCTAGAAATTGGTGCTGAGTATATCCATTGGAACCAGTGGAGAATATATCTGCAATATTGGGATCTGCTTCTGCCAAGTTAGCTGCCTGTATAACTACAGGAAACTGGTGTTCAAACAGTTGAAATGGGTAGCCTTCATGTGCATTTATTCTGAGATCACTCATAATACGACTATGGGGAAAACTAATCAGTTGCTTTTCATGTATTATCAACATGGCAAAAGAAAAAATGTCTAAAGTTGCCCATCTTAGATGTCATTGGTGACTTCTGGTATAATCCCACAATGGTGCCACACTATAACAGAATAACCAAGTTGGGACCTTGGAAGTCTTCTCATTCAACTCCTTGCTGTAGTATGATCTAATCTGACTTTGGTTGAATCAGGGGTGGGATTCTACCAGTCCACACCTATTCGCTAGAACCGGTTGTTAACATTCTAAGCAGTTTGGAGAACCAGTTGTTAGAAGAAATTACTGGCCTAATCCTGTAAGGAAGGCAGGACGGAAACATTCTGGTGTTGCTTACAGAAACTGCCTCTCTGTTAACCCTTATTACATTTTTGGCAGGACTAGACTTCCTGTCTCAGGAACATCTCTGGAGTTTTTCCCCCCTCCTTTGCTGGTACTTTGCTTGTGTGGAGTGACCATTCAAAGTTACAATGGCACTGAAAAAAATGACATGACCCTTTTTCACACTTACGACTTTTGCAGCATCCCCACAGTCATGAGAGGCCAGGCGAGGAGATGCGTTCCTCAATGTGAATGATATTGAGTTGGCCACACCCAGCCAATAACATGACCACCAAGCCATGTCAACCCAGACACATGACCACCAAGCCACGCCCACCACCTAAGCCATGCCCACAGAACCAGTTGTTAAAAAATTGAATTCTACCCCTGGGTTGAACGTAGTGTGTAAATCCAGACAGATGTGGTTTATTAGGTAAAATATGTTGACAGTAGGAGAGTATATGTAATTCAGGGTTGAACTGTTGAGTTATTGGTGCTCTCTGAGTTTTGTGGTTTTCTTTCAGATGTTTCATTACCCAACTAGCTAACGTCAACACTGCTAGTCAGTGTGGGGGTTTACTTACTGCTTATATAGAGTAACTTGCTGCCTGGCAGCTCCACAATCACTAGTAGTGGTGAGGTTACCTAGTTGGGTAATGGATGTCTGCAAGCAAACAACAAAACTCGGGGAACACCAAGGACACCAAGCTATGGTTAATTAAACCATGGCTTAGCATGATGGATTAATTCCATTTGGAGTTAGAAGCCACAGTGTGCCTATCTTTTTAAAAAATCTTGATTGTCATTTTGCACAATAATAATTCTGTCTCAATGCTGCACTTAAACTTAGTACCGCTTCACAGTGCTTTTCAGCACTCTCTAAGTGGTTTGCAACATCAGCATGTTGCCCCCAAGAATCTGGGTCCTCATTTTATTGTCCTTGGAAGGATGGAAAGCTGAGTCAACCGGTCAGGATCGAACTCCTGGCAATGGGCAGAGTTAGCCTGCAATACTGCATTCTAATCACTGTGCCACCATGGCTCCTGGTGGTAAACCATAAAGCAGAGACCATGCATTAGCACACTCCTCTGCCAGGAGGAGGGTGGCCATACTATGGATTATAGACATTAGGTTTGTGGAAAAACTGGTAGTAAAATGAGCCAGTGTCATCTGAAATCTTATTAATTGGTAGTGCAGTGGTTAAAATGGAGTATTGCAGGCTTACTCTGCCCACAGGCAGGAGTTTAATCTTGATGGCACTGAAGGTTGAGTCGGCATTCCATCCAGAGGTGGTATTCAGCAGGTTCTGACCAGTTCTGGAGAACCGGTAGTGGAAATTTTGAGTAGTTTGGAGAACCAGCAAATGCCACTTCTGACTGAAGATTTTACAGTATCCTTCCCCTGCCACGCCCACAGAACCGGTAGTAAAAAAAAAAATGAATCCCACCACTGATTCCATCCTTAGGAAAAGGATGTGTTAGGAAAATGTGGACCCAGATGGTTGGGGGCACTAAGCTGATGTTGTAAATTTCCCAGAGAGTACTGTAAAAACACTATGGAGCAGTATCTAAGTTTAAATGCTATTGCTATATTGCTATTATTGTTTTTGTTCATGGACCATTCTTCTTGGGGATTCCATTTAAGGGATCTATCTAGTTTGGGTAATGAAATGTCTGCAAGAAAACAACCAACGACTCATTTCAACTTTGAGCTGAAATATTGAACTGAAAATAATCTTTGTTGCAATCCCATTTAAAGCCTCAGCCCTGTTAATATCAGATTAGGGATAATTCAGTCATCTTCCCCTCACAAATGTTTCCCAGGAATTCAACCTGTAATCCTCCCCTTTGATGCCCTGTCTCTTTAGTCCCCAGCAAAATGAGAAAGATGGATCAATATTAGTTCTGGAACACAGCAGAGCAGCTCTTGCTGCAGTCTGCAGTGTGGGCTACCACTGACTCCAGTGCCCTCTTATGGCATACATTATTGGCTCCTATTCTTTTTGTAGTAAAAAGGGGGAAATCAATTATTCTAAAGCTAAAAAACCTGTACTAGGCCCTGATCTTAGTCTATTGCCAGCTTGTTTAAATCATTTACCCTTACCCTATAAGTCTGATGAAATACAGCGAAGTTGTTAACATTCACATTCAAGTACACTTACTGAAAATTTATCAGACTTTGGGCATGATCCAAAATGTATTTATCCTGTGCCAGAACTAAATGACTCCTTTGGTAGAGGTTAGAATAAACACAGGGGTCAGGTTCATGTCTGTCTTGTGGCCGATAGAAAGAAGTTCAGCTGCCAGAGACAATTCTTTATCAATTTTTTTAATGGTCTATTTTACGGGGATGTTGATATTGTGGATAATCACAATATCACCAAGATCTTTATTTATTTAAACCTTTCAATTGAAACAATTTTAAATTATGGTGCAACTGACAAGTCATAATAACTGCAGCATTGAGATAGAAAATCTGAAAGTTATAATTTTCTATTCCATGGGCCAGAGTTTAATTTGAGTAGATTTAAGTTACAGGAACGTAGAGAATAACAGAATAAGAGAATAACAGAGTTGGAAGGGACCTTGGAGGTCTTCTAGTCCAACCCTCTGTTCAGGCAGGGAATCAGGGGTAGGATTCTACAGGTTCGCACCTACTCGCTAGAACCGGTTGTTAACATTCTAAGCAGTTTGGAGAACTGGTTGTTAGAAGAAATTACTGGCCTAATCCTGTAAGGAAGGCAGGAAGGAAACATTCTGGTGTTGCTTACAGAAACTGCCTCTCTGTTAACCCTTATTACATTCTTGGCAGGACTAGACTTCCTGTCTCTGGAACTTCTCTGGAGTTTTTTTCCTCCTCTTTTGCTGGTACTTTGCTTGTGTGGAGTGACCATTCAAAGTTACAATGGCACTGAAAAAAGTTACTTATAACCATTTTTCACACTTACGACTGTTGCAACATCCCCACAGCCACGAGAGGCCAGGCGAGGAGATGCATGCCTCGATGTGAGTGATGTTGAGTTGGCCACGCCCAGCCAGTCACATGACCACCAAGCCATGCCCACCAACTAAGCCACGCCCACAGAACCGGTTGTTAAAAAAATTGAATCCCACCCCTGCAGGGAACCCTATACCATTTCAGACAAATAGCTGTCCAGGCTTTTCTTAAAAGCCTCCAATGATGAAATAGCCACAACTTCTGAAGGCAAAGCTGTTTCCCTGGTTAATTGTTCTCACTGTTAGGAAATTTCTCCTTAGTGTCTGTAGGTTCCTATAGTAGAACATTTTAAGAAACATCCTGTTAGTAATGGCAGCTCAGCAATGGAGACAAATCTAGAAGTTTCCATCAGTGGTGGGATTCAAATTTTTTGACTACGGGTTCTGTGGGCAAGGCTTGGTGTGTGTGGTAGGGGAAGGATACTGTAAAATCTCCAGTCAGAGATGGTATTTTCAGGTTCTCTGAATTACTCAAAATTTCTGCTACTGGTTCTCCAGAACTGGTCAGAACCTGCTGAATACTACCTCTGGTTTCTATCATTGGATATCTTCTAGAAAATATTGGATTTCCTGCACTGAGGAAAACGCTTTGGATATTTGGAAGAGAAGGGATGAGTGCTGCATTAGATGGGCACCATGCAAAGTCCCCCTCGAACCCTTCACTTCAGAGTTACCAATTCTCAGATGCCACTAAAAACTAACTTACTAGTTCATCCTTTCAATTTACTGTTTTCTCATCCATTCATTGCATTGGTCTTTGTGCTCTAATATTTAAGGTAACTTACTGCATATAATACCCAGTACTGCTCCTAATCTCCACTAGAGCATTTACAATGATGTAATCTCTCTTTCCCAAAAATCTTTTTTAAACCATTCACTTTTCTCCAAGCTGTTTGGCTCACATTCTTAGTTGCCTTTGCCAGCCACTGAAAACTAGGTAGATATCATTGCATTATTTATTTCTACATGCTCCTTGTAATTCTTGCCTCATCTGCTTCCCATTCTTTCCCACCTGACACATTATAGATTGTAAATTTCTGGAGGAAAAGGTGGCTTTTGCTTCAGCACTTCTATTCCACTAGAGGTTTTTTTTTAAACTCCCCAATCACTCCAAAATAGTTTAATCCTGATTTATAGCTGAGAGGGTCCTTGGTGCTCTCTGAGTTTGGTTGTTTTCTTGTGGTTTCATTACCCAAACTAGGTAACATAATCAGTGTTAGCACTGACGATGTTATCTAATTGAATTGAATTCTTTATTGTCATTGTACATATATACGCAGTATATATACAATGAAATTCACATAACACCCAGAGACCAGACTCAACATGCACACACATGACAATCCCCAAACACCTCCTCACCCGCCAAAATTAAAAACACACAAGCATCCACACAACAGACCAAGTAATACTGTCCAAAAGCTCACTGATTGTAGTCCTTAAGTTCATTGTTAGGTGCAATTTGGGTAATAAAATTTGGGTAATCAAACGTCCGCAAGAAAACAACCAAGCTCAGAGAGCCCTAAAACTTCCCATTTCAAACCTGAACTACAAATATTCTCCTTTATTGAATTATATCTGTCTTCACTGCTGCTTCTTGTCTCGAAAAGTATGGAATGTGTCAGACCATCCTGGGCCAAAGAGGATGCCATTCAGCTAACTAGTAAAAGAGTGTAAAAAGGTCATCCATTCATTGCTCAGCCCCCTCAACTGTTGGGAGCCTTGAATTAAAGTCACCTCTCCCCCTCGATGCAAAAAGGAATATGCTCCCGCCACCCCCTCAAACTATTATGACAGAAAGTTAAATAAAAGATTGTGCCTGCGCATGTTAGCATTTATTTGTTGAATATCTACCCTACTGCAATCTCATAACTCTCAGCACTGTACAAGATACGAGAGAAAGAAAATAAAATATCCATAGGATGAAAACACAACAATGTAAAAAAAGAATGAAAATAGATTACCAATCTCATACACTGTAGCAATGAAAAGAAAGAAAGATAAAGATATTGCGGTGATTGAAAATCATTGGAAAGACATAAAGCAGAGAGAAGGGGGTGGGGCAACCTTTTCTCTGCAGAGACTATTCCACGTCAGCGGTGCTGCCACTGAAAAGCTGCACCTTCTAGCATTGGCTATTGTGGGATCGCAAGGAGCTTCTCCCACATTCCAGTCTTCCCTTAGGCACGTAAGATGCGTAACTTTGAGCCTGTCATTCTCACGCAGCTCTAGCCTGAGAAGTTGGGAAACATCTGTTTACCAGTCTAGATTGGATCAGCGTCATATAGTATGGTCAGCCTATCACCATACGAATCATCTTTCAGTGAATTGGTTTGGACTGATCCTACAAGCTGAAAGTTCCGAGCAGTCTTGTCATTATACTTCTGCCCTTACAAAGGGAATCAATCCTCTTGGAAATGTTACATTAGAATTCCTCACTGCCGACTGCATGTTAGTTGGCATTCCTTTTGGAGGAAGATGGGTGTTATAAATAAGCCAATTTATCAGGATGGTGCCAGGATGGGATAAGCTATTTTGAGTTATAATTGCATCTTTGTCCCATTGTAAATATGGAATAGCATCTAAGCCATTGCTGTATCAGTGGGAAATGTCTATATTAATCAGCCCAATTAAACATTGGGGTTGTGTTTATATAGTACATAATGCCAAAAATCTAAGTTCGGTAGAGACTATTATTGCAACTCATTGTATCATCAGTCTGGAAGGGCTGCTATTTTGGATTTATAGAAACTATCTACAGCTATTGAGTAAGCTTCTTCTTCTTCTTCTTCTTCTTCTTCTTCTTCTTCTTCTTCTTCTCCTCCTCCTCCTCCTCCTCCTCCTCCTCCTCCTCCTCCTCCTCCTTCTTCTCCTGTAGGTCAGACAAGGAATAATGGATGGAAACTGAACAAGGAGAGATTTAACCTGGAAATAAGGAAAAACTTTCTGATAGTGAGAACAATCCACCAATGAAACAGCTTGCCCTTGGAAGTTGTGGAAGCATCATCACTGGAAGATTTCAAGAAGATATTGGACTGCCATTTGTCAGAAATAGTGTAGGGTTTCCTGTTTGGGCAGAGGGTTGGACTAGATGACCTACAAGGTCCCTTCCAACTCTGAATATCTGTTATCCTCCTCCTCCTCCTTTTTCTTCCCTTCTTCTTCCCCTCCTCCTCCCTCTTCCAATAGATTTAAATCTGAGCATCATAAATAATCCATCAGAAGTATGGCAAAAGTGGACAGATGAGAATTTACCAAGTCTATGTTTTGTTAATATCTAGTCAAACAATGTATGATCATCCTAATATCAAAATGTACTTTATGTTGTTTTTAAAATGCATACTGTATGAAGTACTTCTCTTTCTTGGTCCTCTCTGCCTTCCTCCCAATATATACAGATTTCCTAAGCTGTTTTAGCACACACACATTTCTCCTTATGTTTAGCTGGAGAAATAGGTGACTTTTTAGATGTCCATTTCTCATCTGGAGAAGTTGTGGATGGGAAGGGGAGACCCAAATTTTTGGGTTAAGATTTGAAATGCCATCAGGATGCTGTCTAACAAGCCATCATTTGGTCTTCTCCATTCTTCCAGTAGACTGAAAATGAATCAAATTTGTCTGCCTGTTTCACATCGGCAAGTAATCTTTACAGAAGTGAAGGGAGAGAATGAAGGATTTGCACCAAAGGATGAGAAGGCAATCTAGGCAGCCAGACAGAAGGACAACTGCCCCTTCCCTGAAGCCTCCCCCTGCATCTACCCTTCCATGGCCAAGCTCCAAACCTTTCTCTCCTTCTTCTCATCCACAGACAAACCAGCTGGGAGCCTCTCCTCCTTCCAGCCTCTGTCGTCACTAGACTAGAAATGCTCTCTCCCTCTTTCATGCAAACACATTGCTGCATTTGGACAGGAAGGTTTCCTGGGACCATTTAAGCTTTCAGAGCAGAAAGACGACTGATGCTCACTTGGCAACTTGAGCTGAACTCATAGCCAAGAAACAGCAGAGAAGAGAAAGAAAGAGAGAGAGAGAGAGAGAGAGAGATGCCCAGAAGGGTGTTTGTGCACGTTTTGCTTTTCAGTTTGCCTGCTTCTGCTTCGTAGATTCCCCACCTTGTTCTTAAGGAGATGCACCTGGAGTTTAGGAATCCAGGGATTCAGAAGTCTGCTCTCCAGTGCAATACTGGCTAGCACGTGTTTCCTCTTTTCTTCTCCCTAAAGGTAAGTCCTTGGGTTTCTAATCTTTGCAGAGTAGCCGCTAGGCTAGCATCTATCCAGAGGAATGGAGTCAAAGTAATTCTGGTTTGCTTTCTGTGTTAGCACAAGTCATTATATACGTACCTCCCTACGTAGCGGTTGGTGCAAAAAAGTTGGCCGCAGCAATACCAGGAAGGAGTCAAGTTTTCTCAGGGCAGGATCCTCCAATGTGTTCTTTAACACAAATCCTATTCCAATGAATGGGAGCAGTGGAAGAACAGAAGTTTGCCAACATGTTTTCTTTCCTCAGGAAGATGCCAATTTTACACCTTGAAGCAGAATCGTTTATTTCTATGGGCCTATAAATAGTGGGGCTTTCTGGAACTGAATGGATTGAATGGAACCCCCCTTTGCTATTCATACCTGCCTTCTATGGGACAAACTAAAAGATCCTGAGTTCCTGGGATGAAGGCACTTGTGGTGATCAATGCTTCAAGTAACCTAAGCTAAACTGTGCTTCCTTCACCTGTACTGTGTTAATACTACTTACGGATTGCTGGACGGAGTTGTCAGAAATAATTTCACCAATCTGGCACTCTGCACATAAGCAGTGTAATTCAGAGGACTTCAGGGCAACATCTGGAAGGCGTCAGACTGAGAAAGGCAGTTGACTGACTTAATAAACATAGAATTTAAAGAAGCAGCTGAAATAGCAAGGGGTCCAGTAGTTGTGCTTCCCTGAGCCATCAGAACTGCAGTGTCACTGGGGAAACTTGGGGTATTCACCCCCCACACTAGCCAAGGGGCAGAGACACATATAAAGTGGTGGGATAGTCTGTAAAGTTCTCCATCATAAGCTGCCCTTACCATTAATTCTGAAAAGCCCAAGCCAGCACGTTATCTATAGATTAAATCGAGGAAGAGCAAAGGTATTTATTCATTTCTACCCTTAAAGTGGCACCCAGGTCATGCTCACTGCGGGATGGATTATAAATGATCGGACTAATGGGGTATCTCTATAAAAATTAAATGAAACAAAAACCATCAGGATGGCAACGTTAATGACACTCGTAAGTGTAGGCACAATGCGTGTGAATATGATGCCCTATAAGCTAAAAGCAGGATGTAGTAGAGAGCATAAAACTCAGAAATATAAAGTGTTGCGTTTACACCACCCCGCTGCCATTTACTTCGACTTTTCTCGTGATCCCTCACCGTCCGCTTGAAAAACTTCAGATAAGCAGAACGGGAGAAGTTTTTTTTTTCCAGCGACCTCTAGGAGGCGCTACTAACATGCAGGGCAGGCGGGAAAGACTCCGAGTTAACCCTGCCTCCGTGCGTTTCCTTTGCTTGCTTAGCCCGTTCACCTATGAAGCTAAAAGAAGCTTCGCTCTTTTGCTTTCGATTTTTTTGGGGGTGGGTGGGTGGGGGGACACGTTCCAGGCGCTGCTTCCTCACCCCCCCCCCCACTCCGCACATCCCAACAATGTCCCGATTTCCAGGAGTCCATTCTTCCAGGCGGCGGCAGCAGCAAGGGGAGGATCCGACAAGTTGCAACAGAGACGGCTCTTCCGCGTTCGGTGCACCTTGGGGCCATCGTGTCTAGGTTGTAAGCAATCCGGACGGCCACCAGATGACAGCAGACATTTCGGATTTTTGCAACACAGACACCTTAGCTCCACTCGTGCCTGTCTGAGGGTTTGACTTGGGGTGGTGTGTGTGTGTGTGTGTTAATGAATAAACGTGTAAGCGAATGCATGTGACAGATGCATTAATGTATACAAATGAAGGTGTCCCTGTTTAGACATCTCCATGACCATTGGTGCTGCAAGTTCTTTGACCAACTACGACGACAG